ACAATTTATAAGAAGATTCTTCGCTGACAATTTATAAGAAGATTCTTCAGTAATATTTGTTGCGGTTTGATAACTACAAATATGAATACTGTATGCATATATAAGTGATTGTACAGTAACAAATCATTACTGGTTCCAAAAATTTTATCATAGAGTTGATGAAAATTGAAAAAATATCATGGAATAAATTGAAAATGTATGAAGAGAAATTTAAAAAAATTGAAACAAGAAGTACACAATTTGTTGTGAATAAAATGAACAGAAAGTTTTACTTCGATAAGAGACAAAATAAAGAGAAACGTTGAAGGGTTAAATTGCTTTTATATCGTTTACGTGATAGATTTTGATAGAAAACAGCGACGCGCAGGTAGTTGAACTCTGCTGTAGTATGTACAACACTCACGCACACGCACACACACACGCACATACACATACTCACAAGTAACATAAAAGACTCATGACATGTATGTAAGTGTAATAATCAACATTGCTTGTCTGGTTATTCTAAATAATAAAAATAATAATTTGATTGCGTGTTTTTACACGTAAGCAATATAAAATTTATAATACTAAAGCTGAGAATGCAACGAAGGATTTACATTGAACGCAAGCAAATAAACACTAAGACTTTGACTTTTTCTAGATTACTTTTTAATACCTTAGTTTGATTAGCAACAAAAGTTGGCAATTATTTTACCTTCAGGGGTCAGATATCCTCAGGACTGAATTCTACAACAAAAGTATTTAACCTTCAGAGGTCAGATATCCTCAGGACTAAATTTTGGTCCAAACAAGAAATCTTCCAACTTTCTTATTTTTATCTAACCTTTTATTTTGCAAAATTTGTTCCCATATCTTTTACTTGCATCAAATAACTTGTGTAACTTTTTCAAGATTGCATTTGATAACTTCAATAAGTATTATGCGTGTGCGAAAATTCTTGAACTAAATGCATTATTTACAATCTTATAGTTTCCTTTCAGTAGATTTTTTTAACTTTTCATTTTATTCTGCTAAAATCACAAGTATGTCTTTCACGTGAAATCACAAGTATATCTTTCACGTGAAATCACAAGTATATCTCCCACGTGAAAGATAATCTACCAAAGCAATTGATTGGTATCAATTTTCCACGCTCTCTTATTACATACTAACAATGACACTGGTTGATAAGTAATTTGTCAATTACTGCTATCTATTTGATAAGCAATGAAAATTACTCAATCACTTATATTTTTACTGATAAAATTTTTTTACTTTTTTATAATGAACTTTTCAAATTAAAATATGATTTATTGAAACTGCGCAAATATACACGTGATCGAATGATTGATTACGTAAAAAAAGTGAACACATACGAGATTATAATAGACACATGTGCATTGTTATAAGTATAAAATATTGTTGTAGAATATAAATTTGCAAAAGATAAAATCTTTTCAGTAAACTAAAGTATATTAAGACGTAAATAAGCAAACGCATGATTAAAAAAAGTAGAACAAATGAAAATGTACAAAAAGAAAACAAAAGTATAAAATAAAATGCACGTTTTAATCGTGCACGTACGTAAAGTGTAAAAGTAATAAATAAAACCAAGAAAAGGTTTAGTTCACTCAAATACTGCACTGCAAGAATTGTTTCTATCTCTTTCGTCTCTCACTTGATATATTTATTTTCTTATTTTTATATGACTTCTGCCAAGTTTCTCATGTTAATTCTTTTCTCTTCCATCGATCTCTGCTATTTTTATATTAATCATTGAATGAGTGAACTATTGAACTTTTAGCAAAAATTATTGCTTGTTTTCATAATTGTCATTTGTTTTATTTTTTTTTGATTACGTTAATTAAGTATTACAATAATTGATTATTGATTACGTAAAATAATTGAAATAAATTATTCATTTATTTTATATTTATTAATAAATTAATTATTTTTAAATTAAAAAATTTAAAAAAGTAGCAAATAAATGATAAAAATTGTTTATTAAATGTAAATGAAAATTTTCTGCTTTTTTTGGTACTATTTTAAAAATGGGAAATTTTAGGCTAATTAAATTAAACTATAGTCTATCTTGTATATTCGTTAGCTAGTTAGTTAGTTAGCTAGTTAGTAAATTAAACCAATGAAGCTAAAACTCAGCTTAAACATCACTGAAGTTAACAAAATTGACTGCTTGTGTCTAATTTTTATTCATTGAAAATAGCAAATAAGCAAATAAATTTTGTGGAAAACAATTTTTTATTCATTTCTTCAATTCATTCCATTTCAAAATTTTCACTAATTTCTTTTCTCATTTATTATCATTCCTTTTTTATTTATATTTATTATTAATATCATTTTATATTTATCGATTTATATTTATTATTAATATCAAAGACGATTCATTAATTATTTTATTATTTATTAACATAATTTTAACTAGTTGAATTACAACATTGTTATTATTATTTTTCAATTATTATTTATTAAAGTTTAAAAATAAAGTTGATTGATATTTCAGGCGAATGTTTGTGACACGTATTTCTAGTAGTAATTATCAGGTAATTAATGATGGCGTAGTCATACTTTAAAAATTTTTTACAAGATGTATATTTTTAGTAAAAATAAGGAAA